ATTTATCTTTTGCATTCTGCAATTCAAAACTATAAATAAATGCTTCCTTACAATATTCTTTTTCATTTTCAGAAAGCTCCTTGTTTTTCTTGACTAATGAAAAATAATAATCTTTTATACTTTCTTCATCAGAATTAACATTAGTATCATTATACACTTCATTATAAATTTTATATACAAATTGCTTTCTTTCTTGAGATAACAATTTATTATATGACATTATATAAAGAAAACTTTGACTTGTTTTTAATGAATGTGGAGAAGAACGGTTACATTGTTTCCTTTTTCTTTAAATGACGTGTAACAAACAAATTTTTCGTATATACAACATTTTTTTGGAAAAACGAAAATTGCATTATTTAAAGAACATCACCAAACTCTAGTGATTGACTTATCGTGATTCAACAATAAAAGAAATTCTTTGAAGATTTAAAAGTGATAAAAATAGAAAGCATGTACCAAAGCCTGTCTTATGTGCTATGTAAAGTGCCAATATTGATTGATAAACATCAGGAAACTTTTGAGCTTAAGGATCCTAGAGGATTCCCCCAAATTTTTATTAATAGGGATCCTTTAGGATTCTACAGCATTTTAAGGGATTCCTTATGCTCAAAAGTTTCCTGATGAACCTGCTTCAAACTCAAACAACAAAAACATATTAATATTATTGCGTATTACTATTACGTGTAGTTAATATTAACTTCAAAGCCGATTTAAAGTCGATTTAACACAACTCATATGTATCTAAAGACAATTTGATTTTTTACATTTTATGAAATGTAATAATAAAAGAATGGTTTTAATTTGTAAAAAAGAAGAGGCATTTTATTTTGAAAGAAAATATACAAAAAAAAAAGCAGTTTAATTAAGTAAATTTTCTAATTCAAATTATAACATTTGTAAACCTTCTCCTTCTTGCATCATTGCAATATACATACAATGATATTAATATAATAACTCTTATTCATCCCCGATACACACATTTTTACATCCGGTTATGTATCAATCCAGATTGCAACAATTGGTTATATTGGAGGAATGTGAGTGAAGTTATGGTTTTTGTAAATTAACACGATTAACACGCACGCATATTTATTTTACATTGTGCTAATTTTATTTTTTTTCTTTTGAAGATTTAAAACTTTACCAAAAATGCATTTTTATCTACCAAACTCAACGAAAACCTTAAGGCTTCCAAATTCAAACCAAATCAAATGTTATTATTGGATTGTAATCATATTCCAATTTTTTTCAATAGAATTGGCTGCTGTATATGAAGGTTTATCACGGATCAGAAATGATGAAATTGGAGTTACAATTGCTTATGGATTACATTGGTAAACTAGTTATCTATTTTTTAAGAATTCTTTTTGATTGAATTGTCTTGTTGATTAATTTACCATTGCTTTCCTTTTCTTTTTCAAATTAAAGGTCTTGTTATGGAATATTACATGCCTTAATTACAGTTACTTTATTTTATTATGGTTCAACATTAATTAAAATGACGCAAAAAAGCTTTATACTATCAGGTGTTATACCTGACGGAAGTCGAGAAAACAATGTACAATTACGTTTCTTTGGCGCTAGTAATGAAAATTCTGATCCGAGCGAAATTACTATGAAACATTTAAAATTAATAAAAAATCTTCGAAAAGTAAATTTTTGTTATTACCTTTATTATTATTTGAGTTTCATTAATTTAATATAAAATTATTTTAAAATAGATGCGTATCTTTAGTTATACCTTAACGGGTTGCTTCTTCATGTGCACAATTTCTTTATTTGCAATGGCAGTAATGGGTTATAAACTATTTGAGATCACTCTATTATCTCAATTATATTATGCTCTTTGTAGTATAGGGGTTCCTTTGGCTTGTATCGGTATAAATTTTTGCATTATACAAGCGTAAGTAATATTTATTTTTTCATGCTAAATACATTTAAAATTTTTTCCGTGAATCTAAAATCCATTTCTTTATTTATAGAGAAATCCATCCATCTGGTTTGATAGATACAATAGCAGACTTATCTAGTTACTACCATAGTCAATCTGAATCTAATAGTAGTGAAAATCCTTTGTAAATATTATACAACAAAAATATTCCTAAAATTACATTAAAAAATTTAATCAAATATATAAGGAGATATATGAAAAACTGGTTTTTTACATATAGTAGATAATAATTCATTGGCAACTTTCACGGTACCTTTCATTACAATACCGTTATAATAAGTTTAATTTAATAAATAAATGCAATGATTGTAAT